GTTGAAAAACGACTCTTTGGGGAACGAATGCCCACTAGGCCACGCACCGAAAAAGGCCTGCCCTAGAGTGAAACTGATCTCAGGCACTCAGCTAGGACGAGAGCACATGTGCGCCAGGCGTACTAGGGAGGTGCAGACTAAAAAAACCTGATAAAAGTGTGCGGGGTAGCCCAACCGGCTGCCTCACAGATCTCCTGGAGGGGCACTCCCGAGAGGAGGGCCCTAGAGGACGCCATGCCTCTAGTAGAAAGATCCCTTACGGCCAAAGGTGAAGGCAAATTGCGCACCTTGCAGGCCTACTTATGGTTTGTATAGCCGGGAGCCCCTAATAGGTGACCCAAAACACACTACAGCATGTCCGACCTCCTCCAAGAAGAGGACCTCTCAAGGTAAATACTCGGAACTCTAACTGGCAGAGCAAGGAACCTCTCCTTTTCTGCCGACACATGAGGTGGAGGATGAAATACTTGCAGGACCATGGACCTAGCCATGTTAAATTGCACTTAAGGCACATAGCTGGGTCTCGGATGCAGGATGGCCTTAACTCCGCAGGGGGCACACCCCAAGCAAGCTGGTGATAATGCCAGGGCTTGGAGATCTCCCAGTCTCTTTAAAGAAATAGCTAAGAGAAAGGCTATCTTGAACGTGAGGTCCTAGGCGAAGCCGACTGGAGGTATTCGAAGGGAGCCAGGGATAGCCCTTCGAGAACCACCGCCAGGTCCCAGGAAAGAACCCTGGACCTGACTGTCGGTCTCATCCTCCAAATACCATGGAGAAATAGTAGTTGGTGCCTCCCCAAAGGCCCAACATTTAGTGGTGCATGGAACGCCGCAATGACGGCCACGTACACCCCACGTGTAGATAGGGAGAGATTAGCAGAGAAACGATCTTGAAGAAACTCCAGAACTGAAGCCATTGGGCAGTTAACTGGGCCTAACTCAAGTTCTCTACACCAAGTGGAAAAACATTCCACTTGAGGCCATATCTCCTAGTAGACGGAGCCTTAGAGATAAGTATGGTTTCGACCACGCCAGATGATAGACCAGCATCTAGGTACTGAGCCCCCTCAGAGGCCAGACCCACAATTTCCACAGCTCCGGACGAGGATGGAATATAGTGCCCTCCGCTATCAGGAGTGAAATTAAGTCCGAAAACCATACTCGGGCCGGCCAAAACAGGGCTACCAGAAGAAGACTGATGCCCTCCTGAAGGATCCTCTCCAGGACTCCCGGAAGCAGAGCGATCGGGGGAAACGCGTACAGGCAAAGCCTCGGCCAGGCCTGTACCATGGCATCCAACCCCAGCGGGGCTGGATGAGTGAGGGAGAACCAAAGTGGACAGTGGGACGCCTCTCGAGACGCGAACAGATCCACTTCCATTGGTCCAAACCTCTGCCATATCAACTCCACCACCTCTGGATGGAGTCTCCATTCCCCGGGCCTCAGCCCCTGCCTCGACAGGATGTCTGCTCCGTGATTCTGAACCCCCGGGACATATATTGCTCTTATAGATAATATTTTCCCTTAGGACCAAAAAAAAAAAAATCTGATGCGCCAATCTGGATAGAGGGCGCGATCTGAGTCCCCCTTGTCGGTTCAGATAAGCTACCACTGATGTATTGTCCGAACGTATCAAGACGTGGTAACCCTTGCAGTCTGGGAGGAAGCTCCTCAGAGCCCTGAACACATCTCTAGGCAATTTATATGCCAAGAATGATGATGGTCCTGCCACAGACCCCTAGCAAAGCGGCCGTCCATGGCCGCGCCCCAGCCAGTAAGGGAAGTGTCTGTCGAAACGTTTTTCCGGCGACACGACTCCCCTAACACTGGCCCTTGGGACAAGAACCAATGTTTCTTCCATATTAATAGGGAACGAAGGCATCTGCGCGTAACCTTTATTATACGGAACGGATTCCCCTTGGGGGGGAAAACCCCTTGGCTTTGAACCACCAGCGAAGGGTCCTCATGTGAAGCAGGCCCAAAGGAATTATGTTGGATGCCGCTGTCATGAGGCCCAGCAGTCTTTAAAATTGCTTTACAGTGATGGCCTGGCCTAGCTTTATCCCTGACACCATGGCAAGGATGGATTCGATACGAGCGGGAGACATACGTGCCCGCATCGTAACCGAATTCCATACCACGCCCAGAAGAGTATTCTTCTGAGCTGGGTCCAACACATTTTTCTTAGTGTTGAGTCTCAACCCCCGGTTCTGAATGTGGCCAAGGACAACATCTCGATGCCGAACTGCCATTTCTCGAGACTGGGCCAATATGAGCCAGTCGTCGATGTAATTCAGTATACGGATGCCCTGAAGTCTCAGTGGAGCCAGAGCCGCATCCATACACATAGTGAACGTGCGGGGAGAGAGTGCTTGGCCGAACGGAAGAACCCGATATTGGTATGCTTCGCCCCCCGAAAGCGAACCTCAGGAACCTCCTGTGACATGGAAGGATGGAGACATGAAAATAAGCATCTTTTAGATCTATCGTGACAAACCAGTACTCGGATCTGATTTGGTTCACGATAATGGGAATAGTAGGCCTTTTGAACCTGAATCTCCTCAAAGAACGATTCAAAAGCCTTAGATCTAAAATCGACCTCAGTCCGCCCTTTTTATCCTTCTTTGGAACTATAAAGTACCGGCTGTGAAACCCGGACTCCCTGTCTGGTAGGGGAACACTTTCTATGGCCCCTTAATTCCAGTAGAGTCTGTACCTCTTGTTCCATAACCCGAGCCTGTTCTGGAACCACTGCAGTCGGTACCACCCCAGCAACTTGGGAGGTCGGTGACCGAACTGCAATCTGTACCCATATTTTATAATATTCAGGACCCATATAGATATATTCGGAAGGCGTTGCCATTCTTCTACAAAATCTACTAAGGGAACCAGCCCCTCGAGACCGGCCTCGGGTGTTTTTCGAGCACCATTCTCGACTTCCTGAAGCGAAGGACCGGCAGGAAAAAATCGAGAAAGATTTTGTGACCATAGTCGGTGCCCTGTTGCAAGCTTTTGGGGCGAATGCCACGGTGTGCGTTCTCTGGAAACCAATGTAGCCCGGAGCGTGCAAGACGGCGGGCAACATCTTTTTTCCCGAGGGCTCCTGCTGCTAGAACAACCTCGATTGCTCCACAGCGGGGGGGGGGGGGGGGGGGGGGGGGTCAGCCCTCAGAGGTCCTACACTACAATTAGGACCTCTTTCCCGAAATCCTCTTCACCTGAAGGACGGCCCTCAGGTCACCCTTCTGGCTGGAGGACTTCGGTTGAGAGCACTTCCTCTGTTGCCAAGCTCCCGCAGGAGGGGCTCTAGAGGCAACGCTCTCTTTTTGCTCTTGCCGATGGGAGGAGCTGGTTAACGGCTGAGGCTGGCCACTTGGACCAGCCCTCCTAGATCCAGATTTAGAGCGGTGAGGGAAGTACTGTTGGAACGCCGCTGACTGTTTTTTCCCTTTCCTGAAAACCTGTCGACGACTGCAGTGACAGCGTCGGAGAACAGGCCAGAAGGTGATAGCGGAGCGTCCAACGGAAAATATTTGTCTTTCTCTTTATACCGGACAAATTTAGCCACAGATGTCTCTCCGTAGCCACCATAGTTGACAGAGCGGCCAAAGGTATTCACGTGCCGTCTCCTTAGTGGCCCGGATAGACAAATCTGTGGCTCTTCTCAACTCCGCAGGACAGACTCTTCTCAAGTCAGCAGGAGTTGGTCCCTCGCCCTCATTTAGATCTTTAAGAAGATCGGCCTGGTACGCCTGCAAAATCGTCATAGAGTGCAGGCATGCACCAGCCTGACCAGCCACCATATAAGCCCGGCCAACCAGTGCAGAGGTGTCCCTGCACGGTTTATTGGGCAGCGCCGGGGCTTTAAGCGAAGATGCCGCATCAAGAGAAAGATAGCTCGCTAAAGCTTCCTCCATCTGCGGCATCTTGCCATAACCCGCCTCTCTCGCACCCACCACATTCGAATAATCATATAATGAATGTGATGAGATACGTAAAGAGTGGTATTCTTCCCAGGATCTAGCTCTTTATGAAGATCTGGGAAAAAAACGGAAAGCCCCGGCGCTGCAGGAATCTCACGTCTAGCTTGCTTTGACGGGGATCATCCTGCTTATTTTGTGGCCAGCTGATATACATATATATATATATATATTTATTTTTTAAGTCTGGCCACATGAGCAGAAACATGAGCCGGCGAGTGTGACTAATGTTGCTCGTTCCCGATGCTGAGCACATCTACTTCCTTAAAAACAGATAGCTCGAGCACCGGGCACTCGTCACGGGCACAAGAAGCCGCATCGCGGGCTTCTGCGTCGTGAACGAGTGTCATAGAATCTGCGGATGATGAACGAAAAAGTGCCTCAGCAGTCTCGTTCTCATCCGCGAGATCCTTCTGCGATACCCACGATCTAAGCCGCCGCGCCGCCTCAACGGACGCGGGACCCGAATCGCGGGGATCGCGAGCCTGGCCATCATCAGAAAATAATATAGCCAAGCGGGAGCGCAGCACTCTAATAGGAAGTGCTTCACAGTGTTCACAGGCAGCCCTCTCGAGAGCTGCCTGTGTGTGCTGCGCCCCTAAACAATACACACACAACTGATGCGTGTCCCCACCCGTGAGATATATAGGGCAGGGGTGCACACACGTAGTGTATTGTTCACTCGCCATAATATAGAGCTTTGCACAGACAAAACAACACCAAATAAGACAGACAGTTTCACAGAGAGCGCTTGCTGAAGAGCGAAAGCTAATGTGTGTTTGTGCCGGCGTAACTTTTATGTGCCGTCACATGTTACGTCATGACGCAACACCAATCAGGATTGGATTAGTTTCATTCATACTTCAGAGGCGCACGCTAAGGGAGCGTCCCCAAAGAGTCGTTTTTCAACGAAGCAGTGCGAGTTCCCTCGAAAGGGAACTGGACTGAACTGTAAAGTTACTAACTAGCAAAATATCAAGGAGTAACAGAGCATGCTGCTATATATTGTGAACAATAAAACCTGTAGTCTAGCACCCTCCTGGATCCACCAATTCTCGAAGTCCCTTTGGAGTTTCACTTTTGACTTTTCACGCAACAGCTGTAGATGTTCAATCTCTGTCCTCAACCCTTTTAAACATCCAGATGTGATCTTGTAACTATAAAAAAAAAAAAAAAAAAAAAAAAAAACATATTTCATAAAGATCATAATACTCAAATAAATAAATAAAAACACTTTTTAAACTGTTATTTGTAGATTGTCAGATCAAATAAGGTTTGCAGAGTGAATTACAGATAATTTAGTAGTAAAATGAGACACACTTTTTCTTCTGCTCCTCTATCTGGTTAAGGATTCTCTCCTCAACAGAGTCTGACTCTGATTCTGTTTGGTTTCCTGTTAAGACTAAAGAGAAGAGAAATACAATAAGAAGTGACATAATCCAGAACTATTTAAAGAACTTTAAACACACTGTCACAACAGCTGCTTGACAACAACAAGTTTGACAAATTTTCCAGTACTCAAAATACTATTTTAAATACTATTACTATAAAAATACTATTTCCATAAATCTTATGGAAAGCATGGCTAATTCTGTTGTGCTAAATATTCACAGTAACGCATTTTAAAAAGGCATGTACTTATTGGGTTTGTTGTTTGTAGAGGCCAACTGATATTGGTTTTGACACTAATTTTCATTGAGTTTATTAGTTTTAGAAACTATCGACTGATAAAATGGTTATCAGACAGATTTTACATCTTAATTATTGTTATCGACGAAATCCAATATCTAATTGTTTGGTCGGATTCTGGTTGCAGGACGCCAGGCAAATGCATGTTCCTATCCATTTGCAGAGCTTTTATTAAACACACAATGGTAAATGGCAATAATAGTGTGGAAGTCACCATAAGATAGTAAATCAGGCAGGGTCAAACACCGATAATCAGTCCCAAAGAGTACATTCACATCTGGTTGAACAGGCAGGGACAAAACACAAATAATCAGTCCAAAGAAACTATGAGGCAAAAATGCAGAAGGGTAGACAAGCATGATCATACACAAAAGGGACATTTCACAGGAGAAAACCACTCAGAGTTGTTACCTCTGGCAAACAAAACTTCACACTAAGCACCAGATACTCCGTGGTTAAATAGTCTGAGGTGATTGGCAGATAGAAAACAGGTGTGACTAATATTGTGTGAGAGAGAGTCCTCTGCATGGCGCTAGGGCGCTATTATCCTGAGACGGGAGTGTAACACCCCTGTTTCACACAACACACCAAAGCAGAATATAAAATTGTTATCCATAGAGTCAAATGAGAATTATTACATAATGTACTTACATGAAACAAAAGACAAATTAGTATTTAAATGATTCAATAACACAGAGTAGAGACAGCACCTCAATCTGCTGTATATTTTAATTCAAATAATGGGTGAGTAGTTCCATTATTTTGTGCTGCTTTATTAGTTTTTTTTTTCTTTCCTTTTTTTCAGTCATTAGGACACATTTCTCATTACTTAGATCGATAAGTAATATTGAGAAATGTGTAACTTAGGTCACTTTTAGAAAACTCTTCATAAAGTTTTCTTTACCAACTTTCAGCTTGACACAGCAGTAAATTTCATTACCAAAATGCACTAAAAATTACAAAACACTTCATACACATACATTACTGTCATAACAAAGAAGGAGACAACACAGATAAGTAGCGAAACACTGGTGTTTTATTTGTTGGCCAAATATTGTTGGAGAAATGTATGTCTACATCTGATTTAACGTTTGATCTGTACATCAGCATCGGGAAATAACATTAGAATCTCGTTCACTCTAGAGAAAGCTGCTTACATGTAGGCTACACAGGGAAAATAACCATGAAGGCATTGAATTAAACAAACTCAGCGTTTGTCTTTATCATCTTTTTCGCATATATATTGTCCCTGATAATCATCACATAAACTTACCGCTTTCTCTATTTCTGCAAATCCGTTTTAATATATTAATGACTTTCTCTACACATTGCTCTGGACTTCGTCAACATACGCTTGCACCACCTGCTGGTGAGGTCGACTAACAGCAGATAGAGTTTATGCATCGGCAATCTACTGCTATTCCTGCAGTTCCCGGAAGTGAAACGTTGAATTTTCTGTCGAATTTGAACCACTTAAAGTAACAACAGGTCGTTTTTTGCTCTCGGGCTCCCCCTACAGTTGGGAAACAGTATTGTCCTCTACTACTGTCGTAAACTCTGTCATCCTACATGCACGTGCAATTGTTGACAACCAGGATAGCCCTGAACACTGTAGGAGGAGGTCACATGCAGGTGTTCTGCTTGCGTCGCGTGTGAAATGTCTTCATCCCAGGTACAGTGGCATATATTTCAGCATGTCATATGAATATAATTTCATGGGTTTTATTTTTTTTCTAACGACAAATGATCGCGATGCTCACGTTTACAAGCCAGCGTCATTATAGTAGCCTAGTCTATTGGTTACCGTTTTACTGGATCTATATGATACTTCAATGCAATGTTTGAGTGGTTGATAATAACCATATATCGTCAATATTATAATATCAAGCTACCATAAATGAATCTGCAAATTTTACAAATCGATTTGCATTATAGCTTGAGGCAAGACAAATAAACAAATATCACAGACATGTTAGGTATCCTAAAATATGATTTTATTAATAATCTTCCTCCTTTCTTTGTACATGTTGAGTAGACTACACTTTTTAGGTCAAACATTTGCTATTTGCATTTCATCGATTGCAAAGTTCAAATCAGAACGAGAATACTAGCGATAGCTAACCATCTAAAACTAGAATATCGTTTACTAGCTACCAGATTGATAATTCGCTACTACTCTAGCGAATTAGAGAGGTTAGAGAGAGGCATTCTTTTTTCGATGGGGCGTTCGATGCTCCCTGCACACGCAAGGTCTCTCGCTCGCTTTCTCTCTCTGCCGTCCGCGCGCGTTGGAGCACAGTCTCTGTCTCGCGTGCGCGCTCGCTCTAGATTCCGGGAGATTTGAACTAATTTGCGGTATAACTTGTCGATCACGAGTGGCTCAACAGGTAGATCTATAGATAAACTCATTTTTCAGGGATTTGACCGACCGGGTTGACAATTTAGCGTGAGAAACCGGGGGTGTGGCGTACGTGTGAGCGTGTGAAACCAATCAAATGCGGGTGTCTCACGGCCAATGCGTGAGTTGGCAGCTCTGCAATGTTGATCCTCGTTCTGCCTTTAACGCGATCACTTTCTCTTTTTCTCTTTTTGCTTTGCTCCGATAAAACCTTTGCTTTCTTGTTTTTCTGTGCTGCTTCGCCCATGACTATAACATTTGGCTCGCAAGTCCGATTTTAAGGAAGTGGGGGTGGTGGTGGAAGTGACGTATATGCCGTAAAGCAGTCGAATTTTGTAGTTCTCTTTGTTCGCCGGTTACTACCCGAAACCCGAAGTTTAAAAGTACGATTAAAAACGCTACAGACCCCGTCAGGCTATGGCAGACGTGTCATTCAACCTATTGTAAGTCGATGTACCATCACAAGAGACTTGGAAATATATTATGAAGGTTGAAAAGTTACCTGTTGTTACTTTAATTTGTGGAAGCTAATTTGTAAAACGAAATAAAATTGACTGAAAATTGCGTGTCGAATATTATAGGTTCTATTTTTAAACATAATTAATATTTTTGAAGTGAAATCTGAAAGGTGAATATGGATTATTGAATTTGTAATAATAAAAATGTGTGTGAAATGTTTTAAATCGAAATATTCACAGCTTAAATATACAACCATGTTGAATCTTAGCCCATAAAAATGCAAGCCCTAAAAATACAATGCATTAAATGCAAGCACGGTTAATGCAATGCATATTTTTTCAAGTAGTGCAATTCAACAAACTTTTTTGTTTCAAAACCATTTGTCATTAATTTTCTTCCATAAATAATTAAATAAACATGTCAAGTTGTAGAAAATGTGTACGATGTATGTGTTTAACCTTGATCATACAAGGTTAAAAACATTTAAATGGACATATCAAGAAGTACAAAATGTGTATGATGTGGTATTTTAGTGTATCCCTAGATAATGTTTCTTTTGAAAACATTTCTTTACAAGAATGACACCTCTCTGTTGTTTATGTGAAAATTGGCCTGTAGGTATACATACAAATTTGGTGGTGGTTGTGTGGGTCCTAGCACATGTAATAAAACTGTAAAACAGATATTGAAAAATATTGTGTTATCAATAAATATGCGTATATACCATTTTCACCATATTTATTTTTTGCAGAGTTCAGAAATGGCAGTGTTCAAAGTTTGTTTGTTTCCAATTGATGTTTCCCATAATGGAAACCAGGCTGGTCTAAAGTCAGAAATAAGCTTCATGTTAAAAGACAGGGCACCTGCATTGATGTAAAAGTTTGTAAACTTGGAACAGTTCTCTTCTAACCTGATCAAAAAGCCAATGCAGTTGCTGCCTTGTGGCACAAACTGACCCATCTTTGACTGAAGAGGATGAGGATGTGGTAAGAAAAAATAATGTAATACTGAATGACTAGAGGACTTAAGTATTTTGAAAGTCACCAACCTTGGGCTGCCATTTGCTTTCGTCTAATTTTCAGCTGGGTCTTCAGTTCATCTGGAAGTGAGGGAAATATGTGAAAGGAGATAAAGAAAGACAAATGCGAAAATTATATGCACTGTTGATCTCTTCAATTTAAAGTTATTATGAAACATGTGTTCTCTTACGAGAGGTTCTCTCGTATTGCGTAAGTTTAGCTTACGCTACGGGAAAGATTCATCTTCTCGAGATATTGAAGCCAAAAAATTATCCTTAATTTTGTATTCATTGTCAACGCAGTGCAGCAGCTAGCAGACTTAGAGCAGGCAGTCTTGCGTGCTCATTGGCTGCCCTGCGGGCATCTGCTGCAGCCTACCAGTGAGCCCCGCGTGACGTCACGCCCAATGAAGGGCGCCCGCGCCTTCATAGCGTCATAGCCCGCCAGAATGGGCGTGGCTTAGCGTATAAAAGAAGGGGCTGTAGGCTGAATTCCCTGATTTTCGTCTCTTCAGCGAAGCCCTTCGCATCGCTGGATCTGAGAGAAGCCACCGCCGCCGTCGAACAGCGAACAGCCAGCTTAGGACAGCGCTGAGGAAGCCGGCCGACTTCGCCACCTTCAGCCATCCGTGCGAGCTACGCTATCCGGCGACGTATCCTTTTTACATTTCTATTGTATTCTCTTACTCCGCTGATGCGGAACTGATGCGTCTGCTGACGCAGGCGGTTGACCGACTCGGGCTCGAGTGGTCGCTGCCGAAGGAACCCGTGCCGAACAGGCTCGACGGATGTTTCCTGCAAAGTCGCCGCCGTTCAGCCCCAGCAAGTAGGCCCGCTCCGTTCCTACCGGAGCTTCACACGGAGTTGACAAAGTCGTGGAACACACCCTTCTCTTCGAGGCTTCAGTCTCAGGCCTCCGCGTCGCTCTCTCCCAAGTGGACGGCGCCGCCGAGAGAGGATACACGGCTATTCCTCCTGTGGAAGAGACGGTCGCAGCGCACCTTTGTCCGCCCTACGTGAGATGGCGGTCAAGGTCAGCCCTCCCGTCCAAAGCATGCAGAGCCACATCCGCCTTGGTCGGCCGCGCATATGCCGCCTCCGGCCAGGCCGCGTCTGCTCTCCACTCCATGGCTGTTTTACAAATCCTGCAAGCCGACCTCCTCCGTGAATGGGACGAGAAGGGCCAGGACCCAGCTGCGGTTACAGATCTGAGAAGCGCGACGGATCTCTCTCTCCGCGCCACCAAGACCGCAGCTCAAGCCATCGGACGAGCCATGGCTGTGTTGACTGTGACAGAGAGGCACCTCTGGTTAACGCTCGCGGATATGAGGGAGGCTGAGCGCGCCACCTTCCTGAACGCGCCGCTCTCCCCTACTGGTCTCTTCGGCCCAGCGGTGAACGGGATCGTTGACCGTTTTTCTGAGGTACAGAAGACCACGCAGGCCATGAACCTCTTCCTGCCGCGACGCTCAAGCTCCGCCACAGGCCGCTCTCGCGAGAGACAGAACCAGCCTCCGGCGCGAACCAGCACCCAGCATCCAGCACAGCCTCAGCCTTCGCAGGGACGCCAGGGCGGCCGCCCTAGGTCGCGCTCAGACAGCCGTCACAGACCGCCGCCCCCCAGAGGGCCTCGGCAAAAGATCACGCTGAAGTCTGAGCACACGAAGCCGTCCTAACCAAGAGAGAGAAAAGACGCGCGCGTCCCGCTGCGGCCGGACCGCCGTCAAAGGTTATTTCCCTGACAGTCCCCTTCAAACAGGCTACTGCAAGTGGTTCATTTGGCAGCCAACGAGCTGGTTCATTTACCCTCTCGCCTGCACACAAACGCCGTTTTCACGGCGACCCAGAGAAATCTCAAAAAGAGTATAATGTCTGGTCCGGCTCACGCCGTTGGTGTTTTAAGTGTAGTGAAAGTGCCCACGCCCCAGTGTTCACCCCTACACACAAGCACATCAAATCTCGTGTCACTCACAGAGCACACTCTCATAAAGCGCAGAAAAGCCGCTCGAGTGTTGAATATAAGAAATGTGTCCACAGGTCTGTGCCCACTATCTGCCCGCTCTGTTACATGGTCAATAAAACAGGTTATGAATGTAAGTCTCGTGCCCGCCGGAGAGCGTTCACGCTTACTAACACACACCTCCCCCCGGGCGCCGCCCGCGCGTTTAAATGTTATCACAAAACGCAGGGCATTGATAAGACGCTCCCCATCCGTTATGATCGGGGCGTCAAATACACTTGTAAGTCTCGTGCCCGCGCTCACGCTTACAGAAAGCTTTTCCGCCCAAAGCGCTGCTCGCGCGTCAAAAAGTGAGATTAAAATGCTCCCCATCCCTTATGATTGGGACACCTCACATAAATCAGACGGTCTCGGCTTTCAGCGAGCAGCCATTGCCCAGAACCGAGAGCGTGCGCGCCGCGCTTTCGGCTCCGGCTCAGCTTCACAAGCCCGCAAATGGCGGCGATCTGAACCCGGAGGCCATTCGCCCCCTAGCGGCTCACATAGCTGCGTGGGAAACTACCCCAGGGATTTCAGAATGGGTTCTGAGCACAATAAAGCAGGGCTATACACTTCAATTCATTCGCCGTCCCCCACGCTTTCGAGGCCGGACCGCGACGATAGTGAATGCGGAAGTAGCACACCTACTTCACGCAGAAATAGCAAAACTGCTGTGCAAAGGGGCTATAGAAAAAGTACCGCCTTCTCTGAGCGAGTCCGGCTTTTACAGCCGATATTTTCTCGTACCCAAGAAAAACGGAGCTTTCAGACCTATCCTAGATTTGAGACATTTGAACAAGGCGCTTGCAAAAAGACCGTTCAAAATGCTTACGACCAGAAAAATCCTCGCGCACGTTCGCCCGAGGGACTGGTTTATTTCTCTAGATCTGAAGGATGCCTATTTTCAGATTCAGATATTACCCCGTCACAGGCAATTTTTGAGATTCGCCTTCGACGGTCAGGTATATCAATACACCGTCCTGCCGTTCAGCCTGTCTCTAGCACCCTAGTCTCAGCCTCAGACGTCACGCCCACGGAACGTTGGCTAAACGTCTGATGCATATGGTACACTTAACTGGAAACACTTCAGGAATGTCGAAGTCGTCATCTGATTGGTTGAATTTTATCGGATTTCCGGGGGTGCGAGTGTCGCGTTTATTTTCGGTCCGCCGGGAAACAAAGCGCAGACGTGTGATTGCGGAAGAAAAACTGTTGTGTTTACATGAGTGACAATGAGCATTTATCAAGATCAGCTGAACGTAGGATTCTCAAAAGTATGCGAGGTTCACGGCATAGACTCTTGAAGTTTTCTTCTCCTTCTTTGATTTTCTATGCTGACTGACTTGTTGCACGCCGGTCTGTTATTGTGGGGACATTTCCACGCACCGAAACGTGACGCTGAACGAAACGAACTGTAATTGGTTGTTTGACATGTCGGTCAAACGGCCTTATGGGCGGGCCTTGGCCAAAGAAAGCTGCTATGAATTCCAGACCTTCAGCCGTCAGTCTGAAGGTCTGGCTACGCGAGACTTCTAGCACCCCGTACATTTACGAAGTGCATGGACGCGGCGCTCGCCCCCCTGAGAACTCAGGGGCTGCGAATAATGAACTATCTGGACGATTGGCTGATATTGGCACAGTCAGAGACGGAACTGTTATCTCACAGAACAGTGCTTCTCAGTCACCTGGAAAGCTTGGGTCTCACGGTCAACTGGACCAAGAGCTCATTAATGCCCAGTCAGTCAATTTCCTTTTTAGGAATAGAACTGAATTCTGTGGCCATGACGGCTCGTTTGTCGACACAGCGCGCGCGCCGTTCGCCGCCTAGCCGCGTCTTTCCAGAAGGGCAGCTTTCTCCCTTTGAAAACGTTTCAAAGGATGCTGGGCTGTATGGCTTCAGCGGCAGCGGTGCTCCAGCTGGGCCTACTGCGCATGCGCCCGCTCCAACGCTGGTTGAATGCTCGAGCGTCTCGCCGAGCCTGGGTTTCTGGCGGCCAGAAAATCAGAGTGACTCAGACCTGCATAGCGGCTTTGCAGCCCTGGTTAGTAGCCGACTGGTACCAGCAGGAAGTGATGATGGGAACCATCTCTTATCGGAAAGTCATTTCGACAGACGCGTCCAACTCGGATGGGGCGCGCTGTTCGAAGGCAGACCGGCCTTTGGCCAGTGGTCAGACTAAGAGAAGTGTTTTCACATAAACTGTCTGGAAATGATAGCGGTCGAGAACGCGCTGAAGCGCTTCCTCCCGTTCATACAGGACCATCATGTTCTCGTCCGCTCGGACAACATGTCTGTGGTCTTGTTGTCCGCTCGGACAACATTGTGCTATGTAAACCGTCAGGGCGGTGTCAGATCCAGAAACCTCTGCAATCTGACGGAACGCATCCTTATTTGGTCCCAGATGCACCTGCGCTCGCTGAGGGCGGCGCATGTGCCTGGCCATTTGAACGACGGCCCAGACAAACTGTCCAGGGACAACGTTCCCCCAGGAGAATGGTCCCTGCACCCCCAAACGGTCCAGAAACTGTGGCGCCTATTCGGCAGAGCGGAAGTCGGCCTATTTGCGTCAAAAGACAACGCTCATTGCCCGATGTTCTTTTCGAAGAACGAGGACGCGCTGGCCCAGGTCTGGCCCAGCCTCCCACCGTATGCTTTCCCTCCGGTCTCCCTGTTACCACAGGTGATCAAGAGAATCAGGGAAACGCGCCACTCGGTGCTCCTCATAGCTCTGCACTGGGAGAATCAGAATTGGTTCCCGGAACTAGCACGGCTGTCACATGCAGCTCCATGGCCTATTCCGGTGAGGGCAGATCTCCTCTCTCAGGCTCGCGGCTCGATCTGGCATCCCCATCCAGAGCGCTGGTCTCTGCACGCATGGTTGATCAAGGGGTACTCGTTGCCCTGCCAGAAAGAGTGATGAACACGATCACGCAGTCTAGAGCTCCTTCCACGAGAAGGCTCTACGCGTCTAAATGGTCGGTGTTCTCCAAGTGGTGCACCGACAGAGATCTGGACCCGCGGACGTGCGAGGTTGCGCATCTGCTCACTTTCCTACAAGAGCTGATGGATAAGGGGAGGTCC